CTCTCCAACTGCCTACCCGTTCAGTGCCTGAAGCTCCTATGTACTATCATGGGTGCCTCCTGACTCGGGCGAGCAGTCCAGGAGGCTGCTCTTGCCAATAATGCCGAAGGGAGGCAGGGGCTGCAGCTGCAGTTCCTGCTCGTGCTCTTGCCAATAATGCCGAAGGGAGGCAGGGGCTGCAGCCGCAGCTCCTGCTCGTGCTCTTGCCAATAATGTCGAAGGGAGGCAGGGGCTGCAGCTGCAGCTCCTGCTCGTGCTCTTGCCAATAATGCCGCAGGGAGGCAGGGGCTGCAGCTGCAGCTCCTGCTCGTGCTCTTGCCAATAATGCCGCAGGGAGGCAGGGGCTGCAGCTGCAGCTCCTGCTCGAGCTGGCGTGGGAACAGGCCAGAAATAGCCTGTTCCGAAACCCAGTTTTTGTGCCTGAATCTTAGGGCAGGTCAAAACAAATGAGGGCCTAAGAATAGCCCAGGGCCTAAGAATAGCCCTCCGTTTCAGGCTGGAAAAACTCTGGGTATGAAAGACCCAGAAATAGGCTGAAACGGAGTAGGGCCTGCAAGCCCTTGTTTTTCAGTTTTCAGGCTGAAACGACCGGGGCCTGTAGATCCTAAGTTTTAGGCTTTTAGGCCGAATGTTCGGGACGGGTCCCTCAGGGCCCGTGTGGCTACGCAGTATGCCACACTGACACTCTTTCTACTTTTTCCTACTCGTGAAGCTAAACCCTCGTAGATTTCCTCACTGTCCCCTCTCCGATCCTGGAATTATTCCTTGATCTATTGTGTGTCCCCTCCTTTGCCCTTGTAACTATTGATGGGTTGGCTAGAGACTGTGGATATGATTTGCCGTCTTACTTTTCTTTTAAGACCAGTGTGGATGTGCAATATTTTATCTAGAGCCTATCGACATATCTGTGAGGTGAGTCCTACCTCTGGGCATATCTGTCAATTGTAGTCGGACTGAATGGTTGTCTCCATTGTTGGTATATTGTTACGGTCTTCCCTTCCCCTAAGTGGTGTTTCGTAATGGTCTCTATTATTTTGTTTTCATTCGCTATATTCTCTTCTATTTTCCTATGTGTCCTCTTCGAGCATCCCCTATACTCGGCCTCTACCAGATACAGTATTTCTACCCACGCTTCTTTTGACAGTCCCGGAGATGTGGTCAATTGTCTCTTAGCACGTGCTCTTCCATATTATCTATAGGCTTGCAAGTGTTATTGCGTGGAAAGAAATAACCGCCTGACTGGAGTTGTTTCAAAAGTTGGGCCTATGTAGGCCTAATAGGAGTAAGACTTGATCTGTTGGGAAGGCTCTGTTTGTAATTGAGTGCCACAACTCTGTTGCGCCTTGTCCCCATAGCAGCAAGTTGCGCTACTTGCGCTGGGCTTTGGTGAGAACTTGTGACCCCGTCTCCTCCTCGCCGTAGTCTTCCTGCCTGGTTTCTTCTTCCCTACCTCCTTACTCCTGCTTTGGACTACAGTGTCGGGATTGGTCGGTCCCGAATAACTTCCCATCACTTGAGAGACTGAATATATACAAATTGTGCACGACAGAGAAATCTGGAATAAGGAGGAAAAAGAGAGAAAAGACAAAGGATAAGGTCACAGAAGGGAGTGATGCCCTAGGGTGAGAAGCACAGGAGGAGAAAACCAGCGACGACAAGAGAGTAAGCGCAAGAGCAGGGGCACATAGAACATAGCACGAGGCCGGGAGCGCCGCTGAAATTCAACGAGAGTAAGGCCAAAGGGGCCTTGAACCAGCATAAACGGCATGGCAGCGACAAAAGAATGAGGAAGTCGAGAGACGGATGGCCCGGGGGCCATGGGAAGTTAGAGAATGAGGGGCCAACATGGGGACCACCTACGGGAGCCTCGGGGTGGAGGCCCACGACCAAAGGAACCGACGCATGCAAGGCGCGAGAAAAGACAAGGAAGAGGGGTCACAGTGGGGCGGGAAACGTCCAAGGAACGTGGGACACCTTGGGGAAAGGCAGCTGGGGCCACATGAGACTAAGTAAAAATAATGGCGTCCGGGGGCAAAATGTTGGGAACCACCGGCGGGACTAAGTGTCGGGAACCACCGGCGTTCCCGACTACAAAAGGACCGCTGGCGGGACTAAGTGTCGGGAACCACCGGCGGGACCAAGTATCGGGGACCACCGGCGGGACCAAGTGTCGGGGACCACCGGTGGGACTAAGTGTCAGGGACCGCCGACGGGACGGATGGCGGGAACATGTGAAAGTCCCAAAAAAAAACGGCGACACGGCATGAGGGAAAATAATAAAGACAAGGTGCACCGTCAAGATCGACATCTTGACGGCCAA